ATGAGAATAATAGGAGGGAAACAAACACAACCTGCAAGTGTCAAAGACTTACAAAAGCTTCCTTAAGGCTGATGGGCTGGTCCAAGGCAAGGCCACAAAGTGCTGAGGTACGACTCCTTACAACCCCAGGGTAAGGCTGCCATTAGTCGCCTCCGCTAACCCACTAGCCAAAGATCAAGGAACTAAGTTTCTAGTGCTCCCAGGTCTAAGTGCAGGAAGTCAGCCGCATAAAATAGTATGCTTACAAAGTGTATTCCAGAAAACAATTATACTAGTAGCTGGAGCCAATATTTAGATTTGAATTGAAGCCCCAAAACCCAAGAATGCCACAAGATATAAGTAAAGTGGTTTATTAAAAGAATGTGCAGGAATATACAATATGTAAGTGTTGAACAGTGAGGATAAAATAATAAAGCTAAATATCTAACCTAAGCACATTTACAAGCATTGGTTATAAATCCAGATGTTACCTGGCAAGACTGAGTCCAACATGGCCCACCCAGAATCAAGAAGTGTCCCAAAGTTAGATGTAATTCAGACAAAGGGCAAAACTAGAATGAAACATTTTTCCTTTATGCCCAGTGACCCATATTGGCATGATGGTAGTTGATCAATCAGAGGTATGGCCAATGATGTAACTTGACCAATCAAGTCTGTTGCTCTCCAGGTGACCTTAACCAGTCAGGTGAGTTGCCATCTTGAGAAGAAGAGAATAAGAGATTGGATTTACACCCCACCCTTCACTACCTAAAGGAGTCTCAGAGTAGTTTACAACCCCTTTCCCTTCCCTTCCATACAAAAGACACCCTGTGAGGTAGTTGGGGCTGAGAGAGCTCTCTCGAGAACTGCCCTTGAAAGAACAGCTCTGAAAGAACTACCAAGTGCATCCCACTATAAAATTTACTTCTCCTTATACTACCTCAGAGATTAATTTTTTGGACACTACAGTGTTCATTACTCCCTCAGGGAATCTGGCAGTTAAACCTTAAACTAAGACATCAGATCATAATTCCTATTTACATTTTAGTTCCCACCACGCCAGACATCTCAGGTACAACCTCCCTTTTGGACAGTATCTACGTGTTAAACGAAATTGCATCTTTGCTAGAGATTATGAGATAGAACAGAAAAATCTAGACAAATAATTTTTGGCCCGTGGCTATCCTCCTAATGTTATAGAGAATGCTTCTTCAGAAGCACAGATTTGAACACGTTAACAGCCTTCTTGAAACAGTCCCCACTCAAGACTCACGTTCCACCCAAATCACACGTACTTCTGAATACACACGACATGCTGAACGTATCAATACACACGACATTGGCACATTTTGAATGATGTCCCTGAATGTTCAGCAAAGTTGAACTTCAGAAGTTAGGCTTCAGAAAGACTAAGAGTCTTCGGGACATACTGGTAAGAGCTGATGTAGCTCCTGTGAGCAGATCTTTATGAGCAGAAGTCGGTCATTACTGTTGCGGGAGGTGCTCAATATGTCCACAGACATGGGAAACAGATAAATTCGTTTTTCCTAATCTTAATTTTGAAGTTACACTAAAACATTTTTCCACATCTGCCACGAAAAGGGTCATATATTTGACTAAGTGCCCTTGTGAAAAATATTATATCGGTATATCAACATGTGCAATAAGAACCAGAATCATTGAACATAAATCCCGCATAAGACAACATCAATCAGATTCTCCTTTGTTCCCTCACTTTCTTGAAAAGGGTCACACCTGCAATGAGTTCTTATATGTGGTTTTGGAAATGTGAATAAATATAATAAGGCTGATGTCCAGAAAATATTGTACAGACGTGAAGCATTTTGGATCCACCATTAAAAACCTATTAACCCATGTGGGCTTAAAATGATATGGATCTTTCTAGTTATTTATAACTGAGTAAACCTTAATATGTTACTGTCTCTTTAAATTTAAGTTTGGCTTTGTGAGCACTGACTATCAGCCTTAAAGTTTTGTATTTAATGGAATGAGTTAACGCCACTACAGAGGCATGCCAGCTACTGGAAACACTGATAAGGTTTTTGACTGGTGCCCACTTATTAAATTTCTGTCATCCTGTTAAGGTATTTTTTCTAAACAACTCTGGTGAGTGGTTTAGCTATGCTCTTTGAACTATTTCTATTGAGTTTTTGGCTTATATTCAGGTGCTCACTCTATTTATGTCTTTTTTCTTTCTAGATAACCTTTGTATAGGATCTTATAGTGAGAACTATGTAAAAAGACAAGAAATAAGGCAACCATTTTGTGGTATTTTTTATTATATAAATACTTTATCATATTGCTGTCCAGTTTACCATGAAAATGATGTTTAAATTATACATGCTTACATCTTTCTTGCAGCACTGTACTTCTGAAGAAGTGTTTTTTCGAAACAAAGTAACATTCTGGAGTCTTCGTAAACATTTACTGATCTACCCTGCCTTAATTTATAAATTGCAGGAGCTATGTTTACTGTTCTACTTTGTCTCAATTTGTAAGCTGCAGGAACCTTAGCTCATTGCTTCTATGAATGTTACAGCTTATGCTTTTTGCCTCCATGTACGTTGTTATGCACAGCATGTATATAGTTTAATTACATATTGTTTGCATCCTCCCCCTCCCCCCCCAGCTTTTTCTGTCTTTACTGGTTCCAGCTGGGCAGTCTCCTTGCTTTTTGTTTTTGATATTGACCCAAGGTCACACCAGCAGCTGCATGTGGAGGAGTGGGGAATCAAACCCAGTTCTCCCAGATTAGAGTCCACACCCTTAACCACTGCACCAAACTGAGCCCATGCATTTTGCCACTGTGATGGGCCTAATTAAGCAAGCACCTCCCTGCACCCATGGGTCCTTACACTAACGAGGTGAAATGCATATACCAGCCTCCCTCTTGGATTCTGTTAGGCCTAATGATCTGTCCAGCAGCCTCCTGTCTTTCTTATCTCACTCTTCGAAGCTACAGTCAGCTTGACCTTGGGTTCTTAGAGAGAGAAACTTCCAAGATTTCTACTAGGCCCAAGCCTGAACCAGTGTTTCTGAACTGACAAGAGACTACTAGGTGAACTAGTCTCTTGAAAGCAAGTAACCTTATTTCCCTAACAAATGTACAGAACAGGAAGAGAAGGACAAGATACTAGTACACCACAGTGAGACTGAATTATTCAATAGCAACAAAGTAGCAGTAATTTACATGTGGCAGTCCATTAAAACCATTCCACTTTCAGTTGTATTACTTCATGCTAAATACCTAATCAATCCAAATTATGTTCTTCCCACATGGCTAGTCCAGAGCAAACCAATCTGGAAAGACAGGTAAGGGGTTGCCCGGAATGGAAAAGAAGGTTCAATGGCATAAATTTAAGGTAGGAAAGAAGGAGTCCCTTGTGCAAGGAGGAAAAAGATTCTATGGGGATATCAGCTAGTGCTAAGCAGAGCAGTCTGGGATGGGAGGTAGGAGAACTAAGAAGTGGGGAGCAGGTAGAAAGATGTAGAAGGATAGAACCAGTCAGTTGTAGCACATGTGCACCCCTGGATATCTATGGCGTGCACTTACTGGGAATTCCTTGTTCATGGGGAATAACTGCAATCTCTGATTCCCATCACAAAGATGTAGAAGGATAAATCCAGGGTGGATGGTAAAATAAGGCAAAGGGGGAAAAATACTCTGCCTGTCTCTAAGAGGAGGGATCCAGTGGTGTAAGTAGGTTCTGGCCATGTCAGCAATGGAAGAAATTTTGGAGTCAATCAACTATGAAACTGGAGGACTGGAGATGCCCTTGGCTCCTCTATCAGAGTTCTTGGCTGAATTTAGAGCTAAATTAGGATCCATGATGGTATTAAACCAAAACTGCACAATCTTGCTTTCTATCTATGGATTTGAATTTTTGGTGAATAGAGGATGATATGTACGTGGAGAAGTGGGAGTGCAAATATAATAAGGAAGAAGAAGATAATGGGCACCAGATGAGGCAGCAGGGCACAGGGGCAAGGCAATTGAATTACCTGACTGGTAGAAGGGAAGAAGAGGAAGAGACTGGATTTATACCCTAGTATAAAGAACAGGAAGAGACTGGATTTATACCTCTTTGACAAAGGCCAAGAGGTGGCTCAATTGTCCTCCCAAAGCTCATGACTGATTTATCAAGGAAGAGTGCATTCTGAGGGCAATTGTCTTGACAGCCTGTGCCACTGCTTATGACCACTGATGTGAGGAGTTCTGGAGGGTCAGAAAGAGGCCTAGATTAATGTACTCAGGTCGCCAGGATACCCCCTTTTGAGAGCTCTTGGGTGAATTCCTGCCTACATTGTGTTGTGAGACCCAGCTTTTAATAGTAAAAAGGATTCACTTCCCACACTTCTGGCAGCCAAAGGATATTGGGGTGTGGATGACACAGGTCTGGGGTGTGGTGGGGATTGAACACCCTGAGGATCCACAGACCCTTCAAACAAATCTTTTTACTGACCACTCTGACTTCACATTTAAAAAATCCCTAATTTCTGTCTGTTTTCTCTGTTCCTTCCTCCACTGCAGATGAGATGAGCAGGCTTCCTCTTCTGCTTGTAACACTCAGACAGAAGAAACCGCAACACTCCTGTTGCTTTGCTGTAATGGAGACTCTGACCAGCTGCCCTATTGCCGCTCTCCCAGGATGCCTATGGCAGTGGGGATCAAAGAAAGAACAAGTAACCAAGAGCAAAAGAGGCTCTGATTGCATTGCTACATGGAAAGAGCCTCTTCCTTCTAGACTGCAGAATGGAAATCTTGAGTCATGGAAGAATTCCAGATGGTTGGAGGCCACATCTGTATATAAGCCAGACTTACTAGCCAGAGGCTGCTACCAGGAATATTATTTGGCACTTGCCCACTGTTAACAGAAAATAGCTTCGACTTTATGCTGGGAATCCCTTGAGCATAAATACAAGAGCATGCAGTTCTTGTGAGCAAGTTTTTCGACCGAGAACTGCTTCTTTCCTTTAATTAAACAAGCATTGCACCAAAATGAAATCCACCACGCTTTATTGGTTCTGCACATCAATATGAAGAGCACAACTGGAACTGGGGTGCAGCTCTGCAACAGAAATAAGCATGCAACAAAATTGGTCATTATGGTACCAGTCCGCACCCGGGGGCTTACCACCCAACTTGAATCACTCACAACATGTCTAGCGGAGGGGAGGGGGTAGAAACCCCCCCACAGAAACAAAGTATAAAAAGAAGCTTATTTTGCAATGCAAGCTTTCTTGCTAATTATTAAAACAATTAAGTTAATGGGGCTGTAATAAGACTGGTGCACGTGAAAGCAAAACAAGGGGTTAAGTACTACATGAAGAATATTCCGCTCAGCTTTTGGACTTGGCAGTCAGCCAAAGACGCTCTTTGCAGGCTCTTCTTTAGGCTTATCAAAGACTGTTTCGCCTCCTGTGCGATCTCGGCTGAATACAGATGGAGCTGCCGAGCCAGCTTGCTCTGGAAAAGGAACAGGAGCTAATTAGCACTTCAGTTTGGATGATTTACATGCAACAGCAGCTGTGGAAAAACATGACAAATGCACCATCCTCTTTAAATGTATGGAATGCATACACTGAAAAGACTGTTCATCCTATGACTGGCCTATCCAGCCCTGCTGGGTATCAGAGCATGCAAGCAGATGCACTTTTAAAAATACAATATATAGCTAAAGACATATACTCCCCCTCCATCTTCGAAGGCTCCTTCCTTGAATAGACAATTTTGTGGTATTTAGTTGTTAAAGATATTTAGTTCTTATGACTTTTGCACCCCTGATCCTTCAACAGTTGTATCATCACAGGAGAATTTAGGATGGCTTGTATACTGGGACAGGCTTGTGTGGTTTCGCTGTTGTTGCTGTAGAGGCTAATCTTTCCAATAAGAACAACCTTATTTGCTTTTTTAAAAGGGGGAGAGGGAGATATATGTGCTCCAATGACACATGTCCTCCTGAAATAGTCCCCCCCCAACTTTGGACTGCATTGGCTGTTGGAACCAAATGACAGCCTCACAGAAAGGTTTCCGTGAGAGTGGTGCTCATTAACAGAGTAATTTACAAACCAATCTCTAGTTGTTTTAGGTTGGTGCTTTCCAAGTTATCCCATGCCAGTGTAGTTCAACTAGCAATCTGAATAGCCTAGCCCAAGCTTGTAAGAACTTGTAAACTAAGCAGGGTTGGTCCTAGTTAATACTTGGATGGGAGACTACCAAGGGAGCCCAGAAGAAGGCAATGGAAAACCACTTCTGCTCATCTCTTGCCTTGAAAACTCCATGAGGGGTTGCCATGACAGCACTTAATTATTCTTGTAGTTGAAACAAGATAAAGAAAAAAAGCTGCTTAAATGGCTTCATATCCCAATAACCTGAACATTTGCCAGACTATTTTGTACAAGGCAGTGTTTGCTTTCTATTCCAGTAGTTTATTGACCCAAAACATTTACAGAACTCAAGAAACATTATTCTGCTTAAGTTTTTTTTAAAAAAAAACAATGGCCACAATATAAGCTTTTGGCAATAATGCCTTCATCTAGGAAGGCTCAGACTTGGAAAAATAAGAGGTTGATTTGTTTAATTTTATAATCCCTTAACTTCAAATCAGACAAAGCATCTAAATTACGAGCAAAGCTCGAGGTGGTACTAACTTACCTTAAGGACTGCTCTTTCCCATACAGGGTATGGACCTGCCTAAATGCTAAGAATGGGTTCAAGGCCCTCTTTACTGTCTTTCCATTTACTGAGGTGAGGTGCGTGGGCATATGGTTGCCAGACCCCCCTCCCAGTGAAGGCGAGGGTCCTCCAATGCCAGGCTGTGCCCCTAAGATGCTGATCAGGTGGCTGGCAGGAGGACTTACCAGGAGAAAGAGGAAGGCTCAGGCCTCATCTCTGGTGTCACCCAGGAGGTGACATCATTATCCTAGTGGCCTCTGGGCAATGTTCTTGTATTTGGGTAAAAACTCTACGGTAGAAGCCAGTTTTACCATAGAGTTTTTGCCCGAATACAAGAGCATCACCTGGGTGTTGCAGTGTGATGATGTAACTTCCTGTGCAGTGCTGGTGATGAGGCCTGGGTCTTTCTCTTTCTCCTGGTAAGTCTCCCCCCACCCCACCCCCGCTGGTTACCAGGAGAGACATGGCAACCTTAGGTAGGCATGAGAAACTGGGTTCTGTCCTCCCAAATGCTATATTCTATGTTATGTTTTAGGATGTTTATGAAAACATTTCTATTCTCCTGCACATTTGGTGATGGGATGGGGAGTAGGGGAAATTGTACCAGGAGAAAGAGGAAGGCCCAGGCCTCATCTCTGGTGTCACACAGGAGGTGACATCATTATCCTAGTGGCCTCTGGGCAATGTTCTTGTATTTGGGTAAAAACTCTACGGTAGAAGCCAGTTTTACCATAGAGTTTTTGCCCAAATACCAGAGCATCCCCTGGGTGTTGCAGTGTGATGATGTAACTTCCTGTGCAGTGCTGGTGATGAGGCCTGGGTCTTTCTCTTTCTCCTGGTAAGTCTCCCCCCACCCCACCCCCGCTGGTTACCAGGAGAGACATGGCAACCTTAGGTAGGCATGAGAAACTGGGTTCTGTCCTCCCAAATGCTATATTCTCTGTTATGTTTTAGGATGTTTATGAAAACATTTCTATTCTCCTGCACATTTGGTGATGGTATGGGGAGTAGGGGAAATTGTGACTGACATTGCTCTTTAATTTCTATGGACATTTTTAGTCTTAAAAACTGAATTTTAAAAAATTTACAACTGTTTGCTCCCTATTATTGGTGTTGCTGTTATTGTTGTTATACAATTTTATTTTCATACATTACCTATGAGGTAGTTATGAGGCAACATAAAATTGGGGAAAAACCCCTTACAATTTATTACAGCAGTCAGTCTTGTAAGCAATGTTCCCTCTAAGCTGTGGAGTCTTGTGAGCAAAAATTCTACTTGGTGAGCTACTGGCATTAAAGTTGTGAGTGAGCGATTTGGCTACTGAATAAATTAGTTTGGCTCTGGAGCTCTCCTTCCTGAGCTAAGACAAAAATGTGTGAGCCGGAGGCTAAAAAAACCGTGAGCTAGCTCACACTAACTCAGCTTAGAGGGAACACTGCTTGTAAGTAGGACCGTACCTTCAGGCCCTTGGAAACATGTACTGCTCATGTGTATTTAGCCTCAAATGCCAAATTATTTTAGGGTTATAGGAATCAATTTTCATTGGTTTCACTAAAAATGTGATAATGCACTTACCACACTGCTTCATGACCTGGTAAGTTTTGGATTTGATTTCCTGGTTGCTAGAGAGCTTTCCCTTAGCCCCTTTAAGGTCTTCTTCCTTCACTGGAGGGCGCTTCTTTTTGACAGGAGCTGGCTAGAAAAACATTTTTGTACTATGAGAAATAATAGAAGTATAACTCAACTAATTAACAGCTGTAAAAAGCTGGATGTGCTAAGATACCATTACCTACAGTGAATGAAAACTGCCAGTTCCTTGTTGAGGCCTGGCATGGAGACGGTACTGAACAGCTTGATGAATATTTATTTGGTAATCTCCTGTTGGATTCTAAATTGCTGAATTAGCAATGCTCCAACTAGTGATCTATGCTATGCTGCTGATGCAGTATGTCTTTCTCACAGCAGATTGGGTCCCTCTCAGGCACTCTGAGAAGTTACGAGAATGCGTTTCACCATCAGCAATTCTTCAGGGTTATTACAAGAAAATAGGGTTGCCAAATCTGGTTTGGAAAATACCTGGAGACTTTGGGGGTGGAGCCAGGAGAGGGCGGGGTTTGGGGAGGGGAGGGGCCTCAGCCTGGTACAGTGCCATAGAGTCTCCCCTTCAAAGCAGCCATTTTCTCCAGGGGAGCTGATCTCTGTCAGCTGGAGATCAGTGCTAAAAGCGGGAGATCCCCAGGCCCCACCTGGAGGCTGGCAACCCTACAAGAAAATCCCTTTGATTCTTTTTGTCCTTGTATTGCAAGGGATAGAGATAGTATAACAGCCCATGTGGAATAACTACCGTAAAGGAGATAGAGAAGAAAGTTGTACTACTCTTTGTCCTGAGTTGGATGGCCCGACTTCACCTGATCTCGTCAGATTTTGGCTGCTAAGCAGGGTCAGCCCTGGACCTGGTTATTATTTTGACGAGAGGCCACCAAGGAAATCCAGGGTTGCTATGCAAAGGCAGGCAATGGGCAAACCAGGTTTGTTTGTCTACAGCCTTGGAGACTCTACAGGGCTACCATAAATTGGTTGCAACTTGATGGTGCTTTCCACCACTACCAGTCTGTTCAGCAGACGTTTGAGTTACTGGAGCTTCTTGCTGATGACAATCTATAGATTACTGCGGTAGTTGTGATTTTTAAAAATAGTCATTGAGACCAGACAAAGGATATTTGGTTACATACAGCTTTTAATAGTTACAAGAATGGGCACAGTAATAAGACCAATGAAAAAAGGGAAAAGAACTGTGACAATTTAGCGCTTGGTAATATATTCATAAATCATAATATACAATAACAGAAAATAAGTAATATATATAGTGAATGTAGACGGTGGTCTCTGGAATAGTGTGCCGTTTCGATAATGATCTTCTTCTGAACAAGGGTGGGTACAAAAACTGTCTTTCAACAAATCATTTCTCTTGGTGACGTATTGGAAATATACTGTTGATTCACTTCATCATGAGGCTATGCTTACAGCTATGTTCTTCAATGGGCTATAATTGCTGAATGCCCATTGAAGAACATAGCTGTAAGCATAGCCCCACCAAAAGAAATGATTCGTTGAAAGACAGTTTTTGTACACACCCTTGTTCAGAAGAAGATCACTGTCGAAACGGCACACCATTCCGGAGACCACCGCCTACATTAACTATATATATTACTTATTTTCTGTTATTGTATATTATGATTTATGAATATATTACCCAGCGCTAAATTGTCACAGTTCTTTTTCCTTTTTTCATTGTGCATACAGCTTTTATACACGCTTGGTTGACTGATTTAATGACTAATTTAACCAGAGCCAGTGTGGTATAGTAGTTAGAGTTAGCAGGCCAGGATCTGATAGATCCAGGTTCAAACCCCACTTTGTCATGGAAGCTGTCACTGAAAGACGCATATTGTTTTATAACATAGTGAAATACGGTGAAGTTTATAGGGTGATCATTTTTCCCTGTGCTGTGATTATGAATTCGATGACATTACAGATGAGCTGATTCTCCCCAGCTCTGTGTCACTTGGGATTAATTCTTCCTTTTCTCCTGGGATTTGTCTCCTAACTTCCAACACATTTTGCAGAAGCTGAACAGAATCCAAGAAATAAAGAGAAAACAGGGCTCCCCGTTTCCATGGTATCGGCAGACATTACAGCCCTTGGGAATTTCCCCCTGGAAAAATCTCATAGGCACACACTTTGGAGACCTGGTGAAAAGTGCCTTTGTGTGCTGATACAGTAAAATGACTTTAAACTACCTTTTGGCAAATAAAGGGATAGTTTTGAAGGTATTTATTCCCCCCCACACACACACACACCTCCATCTGCCTATTTTATGTTAATCTTACTTTGTCTATGAATTAACAACTGGGAGTGGACCTCACACATTGAGTGGCTTCAGTACTCTTTTGATTGAAACAATATTCAAACTGGACTCTCTTTGTAACATTTCTCCAAGGGATGACCTTAGACATGGGGCAACCACAGCAGGTGCCCCATGCCCCATGTCAGGGGGTCCTGAAGAAGGCTTTAACTGCCCAGCTGCTACAGTGCCACTGGTCCCAGCCTCTCTAAAACTGTGGTGGGTGGCAGGGGCTTCAGGGCAGCAGTCAGGTCCACACCCCATCACAGCTGGACTGGGAGACAGCAGTGGCTTTGGAAGCAGCTCTGCTCCCCTGGCCCACCCATGGCTCTGTGCCGTCAATGGAAGGAGGGAAGGCAAGCAGGCCCCCACAGGGTTGAGGGGGCACTTACTTTGCTGGTGGCAAATGTCCAGCCTGCCCATCTCACTCATCCACTATTTGGCAGTGTGTACCCCACCTGCTTGCCTGCTCATGATGCCTGCAGTGAGTATCGCACTGCAACAGTGAGGACCCCACTCACTGCACTGCTAGTAAGCGCCCTACCTGCTTGCTCACTGTGATGATGGTGAGCACCTTGTCATGCCAATGAGTGCTCCACTGGCTCACTACACTGGTAGCAAATACCCTTTGGGGGTTTGTGCTGCCTACTCACAGCCATGGCTCACAGCTGCCTCACACAGGGGCTCAGTTGCTCCTCACTTAGGACCTGGGTGACCCTGGTGTGTGTGTGTGTGTGAGTGTGTGTGTGTGGCAGCAGTGAGTTTGGAGCCCCATCCTGAACTTTTATGCAGAACCCCAGATTAATTGACCACCTTCTAATATAAATACCTCTGTCTAATGCTTCATGTATTTGGTGAATTGAGTTCTGACTCAGGAAAACGTATGCTGGAATAAATTGTTAGTTTTTAAAGTTCTACTGGACTCCTGTTTTATTCATCCAAAAGAGGTCCCTTAGTGGACTACTTTTTATTTTACCCCTTTTATATATGTAGGGAATAATTATTGCTTTTTTCCAGATATGTGAATTATTGATAAATGTACGTAAGGATGCAAATAGGGGAGTACTCCACTTTTATATTAATCATTTCAGGGAAAAGATGATCAGGGACAGGGGCCTTCCCTGATTTTAGTTAAACTGGAAGCTCTTTTACTTTCACCATACTAACTGGAAGCCACTCCTTTTTTGTTGATAAAATAATAATTGACAAAACTGTAAAATACCTTGCATATAATTAAACCAATTATGTCTATGTCTTAAAGAGATTTACTATTCAATAATAAACATATTACAAGATCATGCATATTACAAGATCATTTTTTGTTGTTGTTCAGTCGCACAGTTGAGTCCAACTCTTTGCAACCTCATGGACCAGATCACCCCAGGCCTTCCTGTCTTCCACCATCCTCTGAAGTTTGCTCAATTTCATGTTCGTTGCATCTATGACACTGTCTAACCATCTCATCCTTTGCCGTCCCTGTCTTCTTTGACCTTCAATCTTTCCCAGCATCAGGGTCTTCTCCAGTGAGTGCTCCCTTCTCATTTGGTGGCCAAAGTATTTGAGCTTCAGTTTCATTATCTGGCCTTCCAGGGAACAGTCAGGGTTGATTACTTTTAGGATTGACTGATTTGATCTTCTTGCAGTCCAAGGGACTCTCAAGAGTCTTCTCCAGCACCATAGTTCAAAAGAATCTATTCTTCGGCGCTCGGCCTTCCTTATAGTCCAACTCTCGCAGCCATACATGACTACTGGGAATACCATTGCTTTGACCATGCGTATTTTTGTTGGCAGGGTGATGTCTCTACTTTTTATCATGCTGTTTAGGTTTGCCATCGCTTTCCTCCCAAGGAGCAGGTGTCTTTTAATTTCATGGCTGCTGTCACTGTCTGCGG